TTGGTTACAAAACTTAATAAGTACCAGGAGCGACTTTCTATGTTAAAATATTGGTGTTTTGGTTCAAATATTCCATCAGAATACTCTGTAATTCCTAGAATTGGTTCCAAAAACCTACGATAACTCCTTAATATATACTGCAGATAATTACACATAGCAAGAAAACAAATTACTTCTAGAAGACAGATGGAAGAAGAAATAAATGATAAAGAAATAATCAGTAAAAAGGGTTTTTATTGTCCCTTTAGCTCAGAGACTGAAGAACGGAGGTAGAGGTGGAGACAGATACAGGACCAGCCCTAACTCACTCTGACTTTAGACAGGGACTTTAAACCAACTTAGACTTGTTATTTTGATACATTTTTATCTATTTCTGATTTTTAAAAAATAAAACTTACATTATGTTAACTTAAAACCAACTTAGCTTATTTTTATTTTGTTTTTATATTTTAAGTTAATTTAAAACTTAGCTTATTTATTTTTATTAAGTATTTTAATTTTTTCTATTTTTCAGATTTTTTCCATCTAACTTTCACTACATTGACTTAAAACTAACTTAGATAAAAAAACAGGAAAAATAGAAAAAGAAAAAAAAAAGCTATTTTTAAATTAACGTAGTGAAAGTTAGATGAAAAATAAAAGTCAGAAAAATATAAAAAATAAATAAAAACAAATAATTTAACTTTCATTAAGTTAATTTAAAACTTAGCTTACTTATTTTTATTTAACTTTTAGATATTTTTTCTATGACTTCGACGTATGTTGGAAATTTACTTTGGGTGTCGAGTCGAATATTTGATCAAATTTCACTTCGTATGTTGGAAAATTCATATTTTTAGGCATCGTAAATAGAGGTTCTGCTGTATTAAATAAAACTCAACCTGAGCAGAGAAAAAGAAACCACCCCGAAAAGGAGAAAGTTCCTCCTAGAAAGATAGAAAACATCCTCATTCATAAAAAAGATTTTTGTTTGTTTTTCTCTTGTTTTGTTGTTGTTATTGTCGTTTCTGTTTCCAGCCAAGAAGCAGGATGGGGGCGTTGCCATGGAGATGCAGCCCCTGAAGAGCGCGGAGGGCGGCGAGGTGGAGGACCGAGAGAAGAAGAAGACCAACGTCCCAAAGAAGGAGAAGAGCGTTCTGCAGGGAAAGCTCACCAAGCTGGCCGTTCAGATCGGGAAAGCAGGTAATCAGAGAGAAAAACTTTAGTTTCACAGGTTTTTAAACGACTTTTTCCACCAGGTGTCTCTATCAAAGTCCCCTAAAACAATCCCCCTGATCCTGGTCAGGAGAAAATGTTACTTAAAATACGTTCGGACTACAATGTTTAACTTTTATCTGTGAAAATTTCCCATCAACATGTTATATAAATAACCATTACATCACACATGCTTTATCCCCCCAAAAAATCACCTGTATTTTTTTATCAATAATCACACAATTCATAAACAATTCACCTCTTCACCCGAATATCAAACTGAGCACCTTCAATTTTTAAAGACCCCTCCACAGAAACAGAAACACCATCCAACTTAATGTGGCAGGGTCACAAAAGAATAATAAATACTAATAATAAATAAATAAATAAATAAATAAATAAATAAATAAATAAATGAATAAATAAATAAATAAATAGATAAATAAATAAATAAATGAATGAATAAAAAAATAAATTACAAAATAAAATAAAAAAATAAAAGATAAATTAAATTAAATAAAAAAAAAAAGTAAATTTCCATTAATTATTGAGGCTGATACCTACATTGATAAAACAAAACAATGTTAATATCATGTTAATATCAAACTGAGCACCTCCAATTTGTCAAAGACCCCTCCACAGAAACAGAAAACCCCTACAACTTAAAGTGGCAGGGTCACAAAAGACCCAAAAATGACTTGACTGTGGGTAAAAACTGCATAAAACTGAGCTAAACTCACTCTTTTTTCCACCCGGGCTTCGGGTAATAATAAATAAAAAAAATAAAAGAAATAATAAAATAAAAAAATAAAGAATAAATAAATGAAAAAAATAAAAAAAAATTACATTTCCATTAATTATTGAGACTGATACCTATATTGATCAAACAAAACAATGTTAATATCATGTTAATATCAAACTGAGCACCTCCAATTTTTCAAAGACCCCTCCACAAAACAGAAACACCCTCCAACTTAAAGTGGCAGGGTCACAAAAGACCCCAAAATGACTTAACTGTGGGTAAAAACTGCATAAAACTGAGCTAAACCCCAGCGGGTTTTGATCTCTCTCCCTCCCAGCAGGGCTAATCTCCTCCCCTGACTCTTCCACTTTTAGCAAGTTGCTCAGGGACATTTTCAGCCCAGATCCTTCTCAACCCACTTAGTTTTTGGGGAGGTAAAGGACCCGTTTTCTTTTGGAGGTGAAGGAGACGTGGACACCTGTTTCACCCCTCCATGAAAACAACAGCTTACCTTCAATTTGTGATGGATGAGAGGGATTTTATACCGTTAGTCCCCTTATTTATTCTGGTTATGGTCTGAAATCCCACTGATATCATCAAGTTTAAAGTCATCAATTGTGTTTATGAGAAATATGACTGCAGAGAATCTCTCTAAGTGTACTAAGGCAAATATTTTTTCACTTTAAGTATAATTTCCACTTAACACAAATTTGAAACATGACAAAATGTCTATTTATTTTTTGTGCAAAAGTAAAATGAATAATCTCATTATCATTATTTACTATCTACTTAAAGGCAAAAACACACAAAACATTTTTTTGTATACAGCTATATAAATTCAGGCTTAAAGTAGAATACGTATATTTATTTTCCAACAGGGCAACAGAAAAAAAAGAGATTTTGATTATAAAAATAAGATAATTTTGTTACCAGAATTTGCTCCTCACTCTTATTTAGGGCCTAAACATACATGAATACACCATTAAACAAAAGATCAGTACCAATGGATTGTTAACCCAATTCTTTAGTTGGAAACCTGAGAATAAACCAGAATAGATTAAAAGTATAAAAATGACATTTATTAGGTCACAGTTAAGTGTATCTCTGGGCTCTGACAGACTAAAACCTATCTCTGGGTCTCAGTGGGTAAAGAGCCCTGAGATCTGGGTGATGGGCATTATCTCCTGGGCTCCATCCGCCTCCTCAAAGGAGGACTGGACACAACCAAGTCCTATTGGCCAGTTACCTCTGGGCACGAACAGGCCAGGTCCTAATTCATGCAGATGACAGGAATGTGCTAACAAATGGTGTGTGTGTGTGTGT